TTGTGTCAATCGTCGTTTTTAAGGGACCGTGAAATCGCCGGGTACGAGGCGGAATACACTCTCGGCCGAGCGGCCAAGCGTTTATCGAATAAATCAGAATAATGCCGCACTTGTGTTTCGCCGACGGATCTCCTCCTCGTCGTAATGATCTTCCTTTCATCGCGATGAATGAGAGTACGATGGTACAACGACCTCTCGCCATCCGAGCGTGCATAACGGTAGGAGGATTTTTGCGATGACCCTCCCCCTCCCGACGGAGAGAATGTCCTCCTCGTGCTCCCTCTCTTTCTCTCCCCTTCCCGTCTCGCTCTCTACTGCATCATGCTTTTTATTGAAATAAATAGATTGAAAACAATGGCTGGCAGTTATTATCAGCTGTTATAAAATCACCGGGCAGGATATCATGTATCAAGCTAATGGTCGCCGTCAGGTATAATTACACTCGCCGCATCACCCCGGTGATTTAAACCGAGGTGGTCCCCTTAATTCGCTGCGTTCGCGTAAGATCGCCGAGAGAGATCAGTTGTGTCTCTCCTAAAGCCGAGTCTACAATAAAAGTCGCAAAATCCTAAGTTATAAGGTCGTAAGAAAGAAAAATTGACCAACCACAATTGATTATTCTTCGACTGCGCCAATCGGTTGGCCAATTCTCTCACACAACCTTACGACTCAGGACTTTGAAGGTAAACGTACCGAATTACGCCTCCTTAGCTTGTTCTATGCGCATAATAAAACACAGCTAAGTAAAAGTGTCTGAAAATTGCCGGAAAGTAGTCGTGATAGTGTGTCAAATGGCTCTGCTAAGGTATACGAAAATATAATGTGATTTTCCATGAAAAAGAATTTCAAAAGTCTACATCAAAGATCTGTCCTTTTTGATTATTTTCGACTAAACTTGCTTCTGAATGATTATTAATGACTATGAAATGACATTATACCTTATAATGTGATGAATGAGATATTTTTAGGTAGTAATATAAAATGTTTTAGTTTTGTATGATTAAAATATAATAAAAGATGATAAAAAGTTATAATGTTATAAAGTTATGTGGTTTTTATACAGGATGTCCGGAATCTTTTGGAAATGAACAATTGTGAAGATTAATCAGATCAAACTGAGAAGAAAAGTTAAGTACCATTTTGCGAAAATCGCAATAGTTATTAAGCTATTAATGATTGAAAATGACCACATCTAGGAAGCTCTTAATTGGATAACTTGAAAATTTGCATACTTATTTGCAAAATGGTAAAGGACTTTTTCGTTCAGGATGACTTGATCTACAATTATATGACGACGATAGGCTGTATTATACACGAGTCTAGCGATAGGTTCAAAATCCAGGATTTAAGGTTCAATATACTCATATCTATCGCTAGACACAACAGCCGTCATATAATTATAGATTAGGTCATTTTGAACAAAAGAGTCCTCTACTATTTTGCAAATAAGTAATTTTCAAGTTATCAATTAAAAGAGCCTCTAGTTAGATGTAGTCATTTTCAATCATTAATAACTTAATAACTATTTAATAACTTAATAACGATTTTTGCAAGATGGTACATGACTTTTCTTCTCAGTTTGATCTGATTAATCTTCACAATTTTTCATTTCCAAAAGATCCCGGGCACCCTGTATAATATAATATGCATAATATAGAGTGGCGTCATTGTGGTGCATAATCGGTGGCGTAAATTGGGACCTACTATTTCAGTGGGCGTAATTCGGGAAATTTGCAGTCCGCGCTTAATTCTCTTATACGAATAACTAATCTTGTTTATTTCTAATTTGTATATGTTTTCGCTAATTTACAAAATAGCTTTTAATAAGATTCATAGTTTTACCTCTCTCTCTCTCTCTCTCTCTCTCTCTCTCTCTCTCTCTCTCTCTCTCTCTCTCTCTCTCTCTCTCTCTCTCTCTCTCTAACGCCACTTTACTTGTTTAAAAGTAAACTCTCAAAAATTAGTCTCTGCTTAAAGTGGCGTAATTCGGTACTTTTACCTTGATCGAGAGCCCGAAAGAGAAAGACCGCGCGAATCCACGAGGCGCGCAAAAGCGTACGCGCGAGGTGGCGGCCTCCTGCGTGTCTAATTTCCCAATTGAATTCCGAACTCGCGATTCGCGATTACGCGAGACTGTCGCGCGTCCTCCGCGTAATTCACGAGCGTAATCGCGTCGGCCCTGCAGCTCCCGTTCACAATGGCCGAACATTATTCCGGTCGGCTGGTATGACGGCTGGCGTGAACTTATTTTCGGCGCCGGTTATTTCCGTCCGAGTCGGCGCGAGCGTGCGTTAGAGAAGGAGCTCGAGCACGAGCGTAGAAGCTCCCCGAGGAATTCTGGCTCGAACGCCTCGCGTGAAAAGCTTCAAGTTTTCATAATGGAGAGCCGCGTGGCCGACGCGTGTCGACTTTTCATAAATTCGGCGGATCTATTCGCGCGGCCCGTACGGGCTGCGCCTCTGTTTCTCCAAGGTGAGATAAAAATACGCGCGCGTTCCCGCGATGAAGGGCCAAGCGTGATCGAGCCAAGCCGCGAGATCTTTCCATCGCGACTGCGCCGAAATTCGGTCAATGTACCCGCGGCGAGGCCGGCTTCCGACAGGAAGTGACAACGCGCGCGCGCGCGCGGCAGCAATTACGACGTTCCACATAGCTGCTGAAGATTCGCGAGCCCCGTTGCGGAGCGCCGTGCATTTCTCGTCGCGAGCGTTTCCTGTATGCTCCCCGCTGGCTCTCTGGTATCTCAAATGCAAATTTCTCCACGCCGGAGTACCACGGCTCACGATAATATCTTCACGCCTGACTCGGGCGTCCGCTCGAGCTTTGAGCTTGCTGCTCGATGCGAGAGCATGGAGGACGTGCATGAAAGATGCGTGCAGACTCGCGAGAGAAGATCGACGGAAAATCGTGAGTCAGTGAATTCGTGAGGAGCTTCGCGCGACTTCGACGTAAGCAATTGGCGAATTCGCCGTTACGGCGCGGCGGCGTATTACGGCGTGACGGGCAACTTTGTGCCGCGCTAGCGCTCGCCAATTGCGCAAAAAGCTGAGCCAGATTTGCATCTTGCCAAGTTACGCAAGAGACCGTCCCGACGTATCGCGCGCGATGATGAGTCAAGCGTAATAATTTCGGGTTGCCGAGTATGCGCGCGTTTTCTGCGCTCGCGAGACTCATCGAGGAGAACTCGTCGGGCGAGCCGATAAATTGAAAGGCTCGCTGGTGCTCTGAATAAATCATTATGGCGCGAGTTAATCAATCATCGCGCGAGAGAAACGCGCGGGCGAGCAGACATCGTCTCACAGACAGACATCTTTATGTTTTATTTTACTTATACCTGAGATTTTTGTTGCTACCAAACTTCTTTTGCTTATACTGCGCAACTGTCGAATTTCGGAAGATGATTATCTTCGTCCAAAGGTGATCATTAGTCGCTGCCTCAGAATGCAACGCAATACAATAATGCAATAATGCAATAACGAAAAAGAGACGCAATTTCAGTAATAAAAAGCTGGAGAATAATTATCTGAAAAGTCCTATTTACGAGTGAGATAATAATTTTCAAGCTTCGCTGAGACGCAAAGTCCATGTGTTGGGTTGTTCGGAAAGTAATTTCGGTTTTTTTTTCAGATAGATGTTGTTAGTTGCCTTTTTGGGCAGTTAATCTCATTCTAAAGCAGAAAATCATTTTACATTTTTACAACGCACATTTCAAGCTTCGTTTGAAAAAAAGTTGTCTTGGAATCTGTCAAGTTGCTTTTGTTTGGCGTCGCATCAAAAATGGAAGACCAACGTGAGCATTTTCGTCACATTTTGCTTTTTTATTACCGTAAAGGCAAAAATGCAGCGCAAGCAAGAAAGCGATTGTGTGCCGTGTATGGAGAGAATGTGTTGACTGAACGCCAGTGTCAACATTGGTTTTCGAAATTTCGTTCTGGGAATTTCGACCTCAAAGATGCAACACGTTCTGAAAGGCTAGTTGAGGCTGATGAAGACCAAATAAAGGCATTGGTGGGCGCAAATCGTCATTTAACAACACGTGAAATTGCTGAAAGATTGCATTTATCGAATTCGACCATGCATGAGCATTTGAAACAACTTGGTTTCGTTTCGAAGCTCGATATTTGGGTTCCATACGTTCTCAAAGAAAGAGATCAGATTCGTCGCGTTATTACCCGCGATTTGCTGTTGAAACGCGAAGAAAACGATCCATTTCTGAAGCGACTCATAACTGGAGATGAAAAATGGATTGTGTACAACAATGTTAAACGCAAAAGATCATGGACGTGGCAGACGTGGCAGACCAGTTAAAAGCACATAAAAAAAACCAGTTAAAAGCTTTGTCCATCAAAGGAAGGTGATGCTCTCTGTTTGGTGGATTGGAAAGGAGTAGTTTTTTTAAGCTGCTGTCAAACGATCGATTCGAATGTGTATTGTCATCAGTTGGACAAATTGAATGATTCCATCGAGCAGAAGAGACCAGAATTGGCGAACAGAAAAGGTGTTGTGTTTCATCATAACAACACCAGACCTCATACAAGTTTAATGACTCGCCAGAAACTGTTAGCGCTTGGATGGGATTTGCATCCACCATATTCACCCGATCTGGCACCATCCGATTGTCACTTGTTTCGGTCACGAAATTCTTTGGATGGTAAAAATTTCGATTCAAACGAAGGTGTCAAAGATCACTTGATTCAGTTTTTTGCCAATAAGGACCAGAAGTTCTACGAGCGTGGAATCACGTTGTTACCTCAAAGATGGCAAAAAGTATTCGAACAAAATGGTCAATATTTAACAGAATAAGACTTTTCTTTCTATTAAAAATATCGTCTTTCACTTTCACGCGGAAAACCGAAATTACTTTCTGAACAACCCAATAAAACTGAAGAGCTTTCAGCCAGCCCCTAAACTACAGACAGCCCGACGACGAGGCACTCTTTGGCTGCTGGAGTCGAGATTAAAGCAGCTTTAGCCGCTTAGGGACGCGGCAAACTACTCACCAGCAGTTTGTTGTCCACGGTCTTGACGACGATCTCCTCGGGCGTGTACTGCGAAACGTCGAAGCGAAGCTTCAGCATCTTGCTGTCACCCTCGTCTTGAATGAGGGGGCTGTTGAGGCCGTCCAGCCAAGTATGAGCGTCATGCTGAGGACTCAGGGAACTGCTGTTCTGAGTGGTCTGTTGCGTGGTGGTGCTGTAAATCGAAAATAAAACTTGGGTCACCGCGGACGGCAGTCGCTCGTTATGGCGTAGTTATAGCACGATAAGGTGTCGCAATGAGGTGTCGGCGAGAGACATAATGAGAGACGTCGAGCTATACACACTGATCAACGGTGTGATGAGCGGCAACGTTGTGAGCTGTGACGATAAACGTGAAACCTGTCGGCTACGCTACGCTACGCTACGCTACGCTACGCTACGCAAAGTGCGACACTCAAGCCTTACCTATACGGTGAGCACAATGCGACGGACAGCAAAAATTGTGAATACACGCGCACAGACCGACATCGATGGAAAATCGTGCACTAAGTGTTAACTCAGTGTTAACACCGAGAAGGCCGCGGCGGCGCGTCTCTCCGAGAGTCCAAGCCGCGTGTATTTTCTCCGGCGCCGGCCGGAAACATCGCGCCGTTGGAAACACGAGACTGCGACGGCACAATGACACAGACTAGAAGCAGCGAGAAAGCGCACAATCGCAGCCCGTAGTGCCGTAGTGCCGCGAAATACCGCGGCTGCACGTGTCTGCGACAACATTTTAGCCGGCGATTAGAATTTCGGCGCTGCGCACCTTGGCCTTCCCGGCGTTAACTCGAGCAGGGTTGTTAAAGATGTTACTCGACCGCTCGACCGCTGCACGCATCTGCACCGATCTGCTCCTCGAATTCCGCGGTGTGAAATTTCACTCGGTGGAAGCAACGGTGAAAAGCAAACACGGGGGAACCGCGCGCAGCGGTACGCAGCGGATGCTCACTCAAATTTGGCTGACTCGAGAGCTTTCAGTGTAGACTCCGAATCTACGCAAGAGAAAATTTGCCAATCCGACTTTGCGGTGAATCCGTTTCGCAGCACAACGGAACACGCTCTTTAAGTTCGCGGCCCCGACGCGACGGGCCGAAGAGAATTCACGGAATGAGCCAGAAAAAGAGAACCCAAGTCTCAGTGAAGCTCGACTGTCGTCACACCGCGCTGGCCGAGTGAGATTTCGCTCGAGGGGATCTGGGAGAGTGCGCGAAGTGTCGTGAGGAACATAAAGTATGGACTGTGTCGAGAAGGAGCAGCGGTGATCGTCGTTTCCGACGAGTGCGAGGTCACAAGAGACGTGCAAGAGACATTCGTTACATTCGTCCGTTCGTTGCACTCGCATGGACGCAGATACGACCACTCTCAACCCCCCGCTCGACCCTTCGTAGAAGGAGAAAGTGTTGCATCACGCTAAACGCTAACTTCAAACACGCTCGCTTGTTATCTTATCAATTCGACGGATCAATTTAGCGGGTACCGTCGAGTCATTAGCGTCGAAATAACCGGCCCTCGGCTGAGCAAGCTCGCTCTCCCGAAGCTCATCCTACGAAGGGTTGAAGCCACGACGAACTCGACGAAGAAAACGACACAGTGAGGGACGAACATTCCGGCTTCCGGGGAGGGGGAAAAAAAAAAGAAAAAGAAACGTCGGACTACATAAAGTTCACTAAGCGCTACTTCGGCACGAAGCGTCGGATCAGCTACTTGGTTCTTCAGCAAGCCTTTGCGAAACAGCGAACGTCACAAGATCGGGGGAGGGAGGTGTGTGCGCTTCCCTTTCTCCCCCCCGCGATGACGACATTCGCCGATCCTATCGATCTTGTCGCCGTCAAAACATCGATCGACTCGTGGTCGTCCTCTACTGCTTTTCTACTCTCGGTCGATCTTGTTTTTTTTTTTCGTTTGCTTGTATTTCTTTTTTTTTTCGTTTCTTTATTTTTCTCTACGATAGCGTCACCTTTTGAAGCTGTCGAACGCGGACCGCTTTGGCGGTGCTGCAGGGTCGACCTTGTCCCAACCTTCGGTCTTCGAGGTCGTCGACGTGCGGTGCTCGCTGGTGCTCGTGTGATGCCGACTTCATAGTTAGTCAGCGACGTGCCAATGCAGAGAGCCAATCGGTAGTCGAGCGCAGGAAGAGGGGTTGTTGTTGTTATTATTGTCGGTTAACTTTGGCGCTTATAGAGTCGTCCGGACTTTTCAACGCGTCCGCGTTCACGCTCTCGCCCGCGCGCTAAACTCGCTTCAGCTTCTTGGCGGCGCGACGACTCGCGGGATCAATCTCAGCTCCTCGGGCTGGGGTTTCACCAGCGACGACCAGTCACTCGTCAGCCGGATCTCTTTTGAGCCGCCCGACTTCGCATTAACGACAAACAACTCCTTCTCGCCGTTCCCGCTTTTCGTCGAGAAATGCTCTCGCCGACGGATGACTCTAATTGGATTCGACCAACCATGACCGCGCGAAGGATTGTCCGAACTTGCAACCCGATTGTCCGACTGACGAATAACTGCTCGGGGTTCGCTCGATCAAGTTGCGATTGATGCCCTTTTTGCGATCCGTTTTATATTTTCCATAGCTTTTCCAGTATTTTTCCAGAGTCGAGAGCTAGCTCTGCTAGAGAAATACGGTGCGCTCTTCAAGTTCTGTCAAGTTGCACGTTATAGCGACGAGTTAATATTAAACATGCTTGATCTTGAAAGACAGTAAATACGAGTCGCGCCAAGAAACGATGAGCGAGCGAGCGAGCGAGTGAGCGACGCTCCAAGCGAGGTATCATCGCCTAATCCGAATCTCTGCCCTCTTTTCGAAACTCGCTGGAAATTATATACCCGAAAAAAGTATTCTATTTGTAAAGTGATTTTTCTCATAATCTCAGATTCTAAGCGAAGCTTTTCGCAGAAAAAGGATTCCTCTTTCGATAAAGCAATTAAAGTAAACCATTCATCTAAAATTTATTAGGTATTATTCTAACTATATTCCTCTTATTTCAAAAGGATTTGTATCAATTAACGTTCCTCTTATATGAAGAGGAATATGTTGATTTGAATGTCGGCTTCTTTTGTTCAGTCATGCTCTACCTCCAGACATGAACGAAAAAATAACCATACGCTCATAGGTCAGAATATCTGGAACGCTTTTTAAAAAAGGTATACGTGTTGCCGTAACGAAAATAATTTACCCATATTTGGTCAAATACAGTTTATAATCTATTGCAAGAAGTTGAATAATATATTCTTTCTTTTAACTATGTTTTATATAATTGGTTATGATGAACATCTTTGTAGCTATGAAGTCCATAACAAAACTGATTGGAAATTGTTATGATTTTATTTTATTACTTATTGTAGAACTGAAGCCAGAAGTACACACACACACACACATATATATATATATATATATTACTTTTCGCTATACATTATATTTTTTTCAAATTAACTAATATAACCAGTAAGAATAAATAATAATCCTGTTGAAAAAAGACTCAATAATCCGTCTATAAGAAGAAATTTATATTAAAATTAATAAGATTTGCATTATATATATAACATATAATCCTTCTAACTTTAAGAATAATGTGTTTATAATATTTTCCTCTTAATCTTAGAGGAATCCTCTTGAGGCCATATATGAGAATAAAATTCTCTAAAATTCAAATGATTCTGCTTGATCTGAAATTACTTTTTTTTTGGGTGTGTACTTGTACTCTTACTTGGAGCATCGCAACTTGTAGTTCGGCTATGTTATGAAACGCTGCGAATGTGATCTTCCGAGGGAACACTGCAAGATTTATCGTTCATTATCACGCACCTGCGTTCGCAACACTTCGCGTATAATTCGAGGAGGGCAGAGGGGACAGCGAAATTAATAAATTTGTAAAAACAAAGATATAAACTGTAAGATAAATTATAAGCGTTAAACGCTCATTCGGTATAAGTCTCGTCTCGCGTACACACGCGTTGCGGTAAACAGCACTCGTTGGCGATTGTCGCGCGAGGATGCCGCGCGCGCGGCATCCTCGCGGCTTACAGCAAATTCGCTTCAAACGGAAACGATATACAAAAAGCGGTAATACAATCGACACACGTCAACACACGCAGCAAATAAATCGTAAAAGCTTCACGTACAAGTTATTCGTACAAATGAAAAGACTAACAAAGCGACCAACGTGTGTGTGTGTGTGTGTGTTTGTGTGTGTATGTGCTTGTGTGTGTAATAAGTACGAGTTCCATGATGGATCCTCCCAACTCGTGAAAAAAATCAGGCCGCGCCAGAGCTGTCGGATGAGCACCTGCGCTTTATCTGGGTGACCTTTCTCCGCAGATCGCAGTCGCTACGCTAATTACCGATGCTGATAATCGACGTTAAACTTGTTGACGGCCCCCGGCCCGGGCAGGAGGCCTCGTGACCGATCGATCGTAAGCGCGCTTATCCGCACGCAGAGATAAGAACGAGGCTGCCCGAGTCTCGCGGCTTGAGCGCGCGAAATAACGAGCCGACGATAACTGATAACCGGAAGTCTCGCCTCGGTCTTCGGGGAGGAGAGGTCGTCGACCCGCCGCCCCACGGAGGATGCTAAAATAGTACATAATTACGCCGTCGCGCGGCCGTGCTCGCCAGTGAGGACGAACGGTGGATTCCGCGAGTCACGTTTTATCGTCCGCGTTACCTCGACTCGCTCTTCGCGGAAGTTGCTTCCCTTCGCGATTCCGCCGCTCTGTCAGCCGCCAGTCCTATTTGCGGTTGCTCGAGTGATTCGGGTGAGTTTCGCGCGAGTGCCTCACGCTAATTATGACCGACACTGAGCGCTCGTTGACGGATCGTTACGTTTTTTGCTGTTTCTTTCCTCTTTGCGATACGCCGTTTATATACTCGTGTGTTTATATCTTTTAATGTAACCTGCCAAATTGTTCACAAGCTCGCAACAAGCAGCTCAGGCGTCTCACCGTCGAGACGTCTCTTTACTTTTCCTTTCCTGTTCCTGGGCAAGCCACGACTGGTCTTTTATGGACGACGGAACGCAGCTCGAAGGATATCGCTCTCGGAAGGAATCGTGACGACGTCGCGCACGACGACATTTACGAGGGGGTCGGCCGAATAAATTCTGTCACAGTGGAAACGATTCCAAGAACAAAATGTCACTGTATCCCGTCACGCGATGTAACATGTTTAATAGTCGTAACGACTGTTTTCCGCGTTTTATTTCTCTTATTTCTTCACCGAGAAGAAGCGCGCCGCGCGCCGCCGCGTGTCTTCGTCGGAAGAACGGACGACGCGACGGAGAGACGTTTCCATCGGCGATCACGCGAGGCCCCGGCGGATCTATCGCAGGAGAGATGCAATTGCGCGATTCTTTTCTGTTTCTCTTTTTTTTCTGAGTAGGTCTGTCGGATCGCGATGGAAGCTTTGGAGTGAGGAGAAATGTTTGAAATATTTCGAAGCGCCCGCCGCTGACGCGAGACCGGTTAAAGTATAAAAGCGCGCGGGACAACCGTGTGGGAATGAATGGCAGAATGCGGCAGAACAATTATGCCAGACAAGAGAAAGGTCGGATCCAGCCTCGTGAAATCGAGGGAGGTCAACCATAGCGAGCAGGATCTTGCAGAACCGGCGGCGTCGTCGCCGGGTTGGAAAGGCCAAACGCCAAACGCGAGTCACGACGGAGCGGAGATTTCTAACTCGGTTGCCGTTGCGTTGCCTTACAACTCGCGCCAGCTGACGATTGTATACATGCGCGCACTTGCGATTTCATTGATTGTTCGTCGTCTCTATTGTGAGAGGTGAGTCACAGGGTCGTGAAATGATTGAGAAATTCATCACGACTTCGAGGCCTGTGCGTTGCGAATTTTCTCGGCGACCGAATGTAGAATTTTCCTCCTCGGTTTCTAACATACGGTAAAAGAAACACCTCGGCGGCCAGCTTTTCAGTATAAGGTAAATGTCCCAATCGGACATTTAAGCGTAGGTCGTCACAAAGAATACAATATATAATATTAAAAATAGTTTTGATATAAATATTTGCATTTATTCAAAAACTTAAGATTCCCTTAAGTAGAGAAAAATGATTTAAACCAACACATATATATATATATATATATATATATCTATTATGAAATATTTATAATGCTCGGATATATTTGTCCCAGTGTCTGACCGCAATTAGAAAATCAGTATGTGCTAACGGAAAATAATATAAATATAGATGCTGTCTCTTAATGAATTTATTAACGATTGACCATTATTTTGCCAAACTATAGGTGCACACTTATCTAATTAATTTTTATTTTAACACAAAATTATCAAATTGGGCAATTTTTTTCCAATTAATCGTCAAATGTCGGAGTTTTTTTTACAATAATTATTACTTTCATTCATTATTGTTAAAATAAATAGTAAATATTTTTTTTTTCAAAGTGGTCGAATATGCCTGGAACACGTGTCCGGCCATTGGGACGTTTACCTTAACTTTGTCGAAAGATTATCAGATTTGTAAATGCAGATGGAAAATAGTCAATGTATTTACATAACGCGTTGACGTAAGCCAACAAACAACAATTGTCATTCCTCGATACGAACGGAACGATTATGTAAGCAGCTGGTTTCCGTATCTAACACGATGGGACGTAACGCACAGCCGGAGAGAACATACACGAGAACTGAGCACGAAAAAAATATCAAGGGAATTCCGTCATGCATTAACAACTCGACGGTCGGCGTGTTATGCTTAATCAAGATATTCGCGCGTGCGTTGCTCGCCGATTTCGCCGCGGAAACGACAGATGAAACGACCGTCTGTCGAGCGCGCGTGCAAAGTGGTGGATATATTTCTAGAAAATTAGTACGACAGACGCGAAAACCTCCGTCTCTTCTAATGACGGGGCTGCAACCGAATTTTAACATGCGATACGATAAAGAGATTATTGGGATTTTCTAACAGCGCGCTTTATCGGCCCCCGTTATTTATTGATTGCTCGAATAAGCGAAAGCAATGTGTCAAGTCAGAAATCTATTACCGTGACAGCTCTTCACGAGCACGTACAATTACAAAATCCTAATTGCATCGCGTATTACGGCTATTC